CAGAGTTTAGATGAGTCCCCTGTGCTGTTGCAAAGCGATTGGTAGAGGTCACCGTTGAGCGAATAGGCTGAAAGCACATTCTGAAATTCTTGCAGGGGGCAGTAGAGTCCACTGCAGCCAGGAATAAGTTGATCCTGGAGAAAAGAAACAGCCAATCATGCACAACTGGGGTGTGTGTGTTTGACTGTGGCACGGGGGGAATCATACCTGACCCATGTAGGACACTTTAACAAAAGGCTCCTTTGTGCGCTTGTGCTCGTGGAGCTCCAGAGTGATGTCGGAAGCGTACGGCGGCCACTTCATGTCGAAAATGCCCAGCGCCATCAGGCACGGGATCAATGTTGTGTCGTGGGCCGAGTACAAGAACAGCTTCCTGTTTGAAAAAGGCGGAAAGAATATAAATCCTGGAATCAGGGAATGCTAATGAACGCAGGGATATTGCTGTTCAACAAAAAGCAAACTTTTTGTTCTTCAGACCAAAAAATTCAATTGAAAAAAAATACATTAATGGGAATATGGGACAGGTTACAGATTAGCATAGTGGAAATAAATCCAATAGGATGTGAATAAAGAGGAATATAACGAAACTTAAAAACATTGAACGCATTCATGTGAATAAATGCGGATACAGGGGAGTTTTTCCAAAATGTATTATATTATCAAAAAAATGCCAAGAAAAATGTTTTTTCTTGTTCTTTAGATTAAAAAAAACAATGCAATGATAGTTTTGGTTTGATTAAAAAAATACATTTAATTAATAATACATGTAAATATTTTACTTTGCATGCATGTCTCCTTGGAGCAGAAGAACAGAAATGTCCATTTTGTGTTCATTTCCTTAAAATGATAAATTGTTTAGTAAGATTTGCAAATCACCCCTGCTCATCCTGCCATGAAAAGTTGGCATTAATCTAGTGAGAAAACTTTCCAGTTTTTACGAACCCACTCAAGCCATGAAGAAATATGCATGTGTAACCTGTTTGGCTCTGATGAGGTGCCTTGTAGTTTCTCGTCAATGTTAACTAAGAGCATATGCAGCAAAGGTCCCACGCACAACTGCAAATTCTCCCTGTCGGACCGAAAAAAAAAAAGATTGTGTCACGCTGTTCTTGTTGACTCTGATTAAGAGCGATAAGAGTCATTCATTGTTCCAATGGCTGACCTCTTGCTGGGTTGGTAACAGTAAAACATCATGTCCACGGCTCTCTGCTCCACTCGGTTTCTCCACGCGGGCAGAGCGGGCGGGCACGGCAGGCCGTGAGTCTGACAATAGGCAGGCATGCACACACGCCGTAGCACGGCTGTAACTCGTTGCTTGACACGTTTCGGTTGACCAAGTTCACATCAGGTAAATTCTGATCTTGTTAGCATTTTGAGCGTAGGGTGCGTTAGGTGGAATAGTGATCGCTGTTTAAATGACTGTGCATGGTAGCAGCCAGACGGGCAGCTTGTCATGTGCCTTAAATATTACCTTTACACTATGGTATCTGTTTAAATGGTTCAAACTGTAACCATAATACCTTGATTGGCTGTCTTATAAGATTTTTTTTTTCTTCTTGATTTGTCATAAAATTACAACCGCTCAAAACATGTGTATATATAATTTTTTTTCCCCTTAGGGGTGTGCATCTCTTTCCAAAAGACGATGTGGTTTTCGATACGTGGGGTGAGAAACGATTCAAGGACGATTTACGGTTCGACTCTGGGATGACGATTCGATATCCTCCTTCTCATCAATATGGTACGACTCAGTTTGAGAGGGTATCGTGCTGTAACTTTTTTTTGTCGTCATCTAACATACATTTGAACTTGTCAGTACTGTTGATACATCGTTCCAATCAAAGACGATTCGATACGTAGCTCGATTATATTTCAAAGTGAAGCGATTTGGTTCAATCCTATTTTTTTAATCTCATGTTACAACCAATTTTATAACTTGATTACAATTATTTGATATGATCAAATTTGCAAACACCCTACTTTCAACTGTTGAACTTCCGTTTGATTTCTGCTTGCATCAATCACTTTTCTCAACTTGCTAACAGGAGCGAGCGTCACCTCTCTGGCGACCATGTCGTCCCTGATGAGGACGAAGTCAACGTCAGATTTGGCGCTGATGCCTAGCTCACTCCGGATGCTCTTCAGGTCAGCCACCATGTGCGGCAGGAGGGACACCTCTTTGAAGCGGGGGCTGACACGCAAACACAGTTCTCATTTGATTACCAATCTATATATATATATATATATATATATATATATATATATATGATAAGAAGACATTTTATTTATAAGCGCCTTTCAAAAACAGTCAAGGACAATCAAGAACAAAAAAAAACCCCACAAAAAATCTGAACAAAATTGCTACTTTTGTGTCATGGTACAAACTTGCTGAGCATTCTGAGCAGCCGGCATCCGTGGTAATTGGGGTACAGAATTTCCGACTCTGCATCTGTGGTTAATATGGGAACTATTTCTGTGCAAGCAAAAAAAAAAAAAAAAAAGTGAAAAGGATGTTGATGATAAGGAAGGAAGTGACAATCACGTGAGTGTGTACCTTTTTGTTTTTGCTGGAAGAGCCCTGCTACCAGGCACCGAGCAGACTCGATGGTCCTTATAATGTTGGTAGAGCGCACGCTTCACATGGGAATTTACTCATTAGAATCAACTGACTGACTTTATATCTTATCGTCTTCCTCTACCCCACACTTACTAGACCTCATTAGGGCAGAAGGTGGAACTGAGGAATGGAACTTCTTGGACGTATCTTCTCCTCAACCTTTCACCCAGCTCGTACAGCTGCTGCATGCCCAAAGTGGTCAGCTGACCCGCAAACACGCCACCCTGATATGGTCGACAAACAGAGTGACTTGAATGGTTGTCTGAAAAGAAACGTGAGTGCTCATTAAACGTGAGAAAGAAACCTACTCACGCTTAGCTTTTTTTTCCTGTAGCTGTCCTCCAATGGAGATGGAGGTCTGGGTCCTCCATCAAGGTCTGTGACCACATGGTTGATGTGTGTGTGGCCTGGAGGCTCCAATAGTGTGGGCACCCATTGTGCCTTTCATAGGAAAATAGCGAATAATGAAATGACATGAATTATTTTCTGGGGATAAAAATGGATTGTTTTTCATATTACAACTATTTTTCGACAACTTTTTCCCATGGTACTGACAAATTTTGGAAACAAAGTCAACTTTTCGTTCTCGACCCTTGATGACAACAGAATTTATTGTTGTACCGGGTACTTTATTTTTCCAGGTTGCCTGTAAGGTTGGACCTTTTTGAATTTTCAGGAAAACCGCAATGCTAGGCAAGGAAACCGTTTTTGAGTATTCATTCTGACAAGACAACAAAGCCATGCAACACCATCATAATTGTTTTGATTTTACCTCCAACACATCAGGTATCGATTTAAGGGGCGTACGGGCGCCGTGTCGAAACAGCACTTGAACCAATTTGAGCTGGTACGGCGACGATTTCGAGCCGCCATTGGCCTTCCACTGCCTCCACCACAACGCCGAACCGCAGGCGATGGACACGGAGACAAAGATGCCCGTTTTTGTCCAAAGTTTCCTCATGGCCGTACCGCTGAAGACTAAAACGAAAACAGGTGAGCATATGCATGAATGACTAGTTAACCACAGAGGACCAAGATAAGCAAAGTAAGAGGCACGTAAAGCAGGTGTGGGGACAATATCAGGGGCCATTTTCGTTTTCAGAAAATCTAACCAGAATTTATGAAGGAAAAAAAAACGCGTTAACGAATATGAGTAGTTGTGGCTTGTTCCAACAATTCCCCTGGGGTTTGAATGGCGATAAGTTTCCCGACCCTTGTCTAGACGGTATAAACATTTACTCGTAAATGAAGGTTAAGACCTAAATTCAAAATAAGTTTGTGCTACATAGTGTAATCCGTTATCTATTCATATTTACAGGAACCGATATGAAGACCAGCCAGGTAAAAAAAAGTTGGTCCTTGATTTACGACAACAGTAACAGAACTCCGTCGTAAAACGAGGACTCCGTGTACTACAGTGCACCGAAAACAAAGAGCGTGTGAGCGTTTTTGTGTTTTTATTATTTACTAAACCGCCAAAACTTACTGTCATTGCAATATACGTTAGCTTTTTGCTGTCGAGCAACGGCGTAACGACCGCTTGACGTTTTCCGTTTAATATAACAGCTCAACCACAAAGCAGTTGGTTACCAGCATGTAATGCTGCAATAGAATCGTTAGTTTTATTTCCCAACCGGTTCGTTGCTAGCAGGCCAATTAATAACAAGAGAGAGACCATCCTCGCCTCGACGCTTTGCGGTAAGATAGCTAACAACGAGTCCACAAAAAATGACTCGTTTGACTTGCCATAACGTCTACTTACTCGAGAAGTCAAAGCTAAAATGATGACTCAAATGTCCGTTTTCGCGAAGAAGTCAGTTCAGCCTCCGGTTGTGGTTACAGGACATACCGGGAAACGTTGAGCAGAGACTACCGGTGTACGGCGGTAGGTGGTGGGGAGAAAACTTCATATCCCATCAGCCAAGTGCCGCATTCAGTGTTGTCGTCATTTTGAGCTTCCTTCTCGTCCACACGTGGATAGTTACACTCCTCAAATTTAAGTTCTATCCTAGTTGACAAGTAATGATACGGACACAACAGTTTTTCACTTTAAAACAGTTGAAAATTATCCTCGCTGAACTTGACCGACATTGTGTGTGTCACGTACAGCGACATATGAATAATAAATAAAATCACAATTTTTAATTAACGCTTCCTATCCCAGACATTAAGTCATTTATTCATAGTAAAAGTTACTACTGAATATTAACTGTGCAATTTTTGTTTCCACTTTTTTTTTTTAACGAAAACACCCTTTTCGATAATAAAATGTCTGGCTATGACAGTGAATACACCATAATTTTTTTGTCCGTATGATTTTACAGGGGGTGCGTTCTGGCTGTTCTCTACCCTCTATTGGTAAGTAAAAACACAACTCTCAATGTTAAACAAACGTGATCATTTATTGAGAAAAGCTACAAGTACATAAAACGAATGTATATGCAGATAGTTGAATGGATTGTTGCTGTTATACACTAAAACCTAAAGTTACTTAGAAACGTTACTTTGAAAAAGCAAATGAATGAATGAATAATTGTCCAAGTAAGCTGCGTAATATGGGAAAGAAAAAGAAGAGGGAATTAAAAAAAGTCCATTTGTGGGCAGGAAAATGATGACAATGACGAATCATCGTCAACACCAAAGACACGAGGGAAACGTAAGTGCAATGTCGCCACCTAGTGGCCATAATTTTCAATCATGACAGGCGTCCACATGGGTCCTGTCAAATGACTGTTCGCAAGAGCATTTTCATATACAGTACAGTAATACATTTTTTTGGTATACTGTATAAACTAATATATTACACGACCCTCATCAAGGCATATTACCTTTATGGTAACTTCACAGCTATTGAACAGCACGAAAATATAATTAACCTGACAGTCCCTGTAAAGTGTCAATAAAAATGTATTGTAAATTTGACACACGACCGAAGAGTATTGTTAAAAACCCTGCCAAAATTTAAATCGTCGTGTATATAAAATGAGGCTTCAAAATCATGAAAAAATAAAGACTTTAATGCTGTTTGTGTGTGTGTGTGTGTGTGTGTGTGTGTGTAATGTGTGCTGTTACTCTGACCCCGCTCAACTGTCAATCGAACCCTATTTCAACCACCTGGAAAAATTGATGCTACTTTATCTATGTCTACGCAGAAGTACATGTTTGAGTCACGAAACTATACCTGTGTAAAGCTTCCGCTGGCTGTACTATATCCTGTGTCATTGAGCCCCTTTTCCACAACACACCAGCAAGGCGCTCTAAAACTAACGTGGGATGACAGGGAAGATACATTTTCGAGGTGTAGACACAGCTAGTTGGGTAACTGCATATCACAATCTTACCAGAAAACCGCTGATGCAATCAGACGCACTCAAGTTCTAATATAGTGGGGCTGGGACAACGAGTGCAGGATGCCAAAGTGTATCATCAAGCACCGTTTTAGCCACACTGAACAATCTAGAAAACTGAAATGGCGAAAAACTTGAACAATATAGCTTCACAATTCATTTCGACATTGTTCTCAATCTTTGCACTTTTTCAGCAATTATCTTCAAACTTCAGGTATAATGTATGGAGAGGCAAATCTCAGAATTCACTTTACATTGTCTTTAAAGGGAACATATTATATAAAATTGACTTTTTGATTGCTTGTACAGTATAAAAATACAACAGTTGAGTCCTTGGAGTGCCTGCCCAACTATAAAGTGCAAAATTAAACAATCAAGTCAATTTTCTGTGATTGAAAATGTCTGTGAGTGAGTCATTCTGAACTTCTGCCCTACTGCACGTGCGAACAAATAGTGTACGGTGGTGCCCACTTCGTAAACATGTCAAGTGCAACTCTCAGGCGTCCGTTCTGCTACCCTGCATGTTGTCGAAAGTTCAAACTAGTTCCTGAAGGTCCCGTGTTTAAATGGAAAGGTCGTCTTGTCGCCCTCGCCCGCTGCTCCTGCTCGTCTTGCTCAGACGACGTTTGTCCCCAGCGTACTCAGAGTGTGGTGCGTCCATGGGGCCGCAGTTATTGGACAGACCCTGGGGCGATGGCGCCCCCTGGTACCTTTGCAGAAAGTCCTCATTGTCCTCCAGGTTGCCCCTGCTGTGGCGCTCGGCCGCCATGTTGGCCGAGTTCTGCTGTAGCGCCATCCTGTTGCTGAAGGGAACGGGCGCCATGGAGGTCAGGGGGTTGACGCAGTGGCTGAAGTCTGGAGGCGGAGTACGCGGGGCCATCGGGCCGTCGGGCTCCAGCGCTGTCGCTGTCACGACAGGCAATGTGCGCCGCGCGGCTTTCCGCTGCATACACGCCCTCAGGCTCTTCCAGCCCAGGTAGTAGAGCTCAAGCACAGACAGTGCCAGGGACACCGCGGCCACCACCAGCATGAAGACGATGAAGATGTTCTTCTCGGTGGGCCGCGACATGTAGCAGTTGACCGGGTTCGGGCAGGGCGATGCCGTGCACAGGTACAGCGCCTTGAGGAACACCCCGTAGATCATGTACTGCACTGCAATGAAGATAACCTCCATGGCAGTGCGTATAAGGATGCTGAGGATATATGTGTGGAGGAGCGGACCCCTGAGACGCAGCCGACTCCGCCCGTCCGCCCCGACCTCCCTCCCGCTCTCCGCCCGCTGCAGGTACTCCTTCTCGCCCTCCATCTCGGCCTCGCCCTCCTCCGATCTGGTCTCCCCCTCGGCCGATCTGGCTTCTTTCTCTTCCTGCTCCCGCCGCCTGCGCTTCTCCTCACCTCGCACTGTGTGCACGGCGTGGCCCATGTAGATGAGGGATGGCGTGGACACGAAGACAATCTGCAGCACCCAATAGCGGATGTGCGCGATGGGGAAAGCGCGGTCGTAGCACACGTTGGTGCAGCCGGGCTGCTGCGTGTCACACAGGAAGTCGCTCTGCTCGTCGCCCCACGACGACTCGGCCGCCGTTCCCAACACCAGGATGCGGAAGATGAAGAGCACGGTGAGCCACACCTTGCCCACTGAGGTGGAGTGCTCCTGGACCTCCTCCAGGACGTTCCCCAAGAGGCTCCAGTCGCCCATTGCTGCTCACGGGCACCAAGAGCACACCTGAGAGGGATGACAAGATTGAGGTTGTTGAGAGTAGCAAGAAGCAGGAAGCGGCGAGAGCGATGCAGTTAAGGAACCATACAGTATTTGGTTTCTTGGCCGTTCAAAATGGCTGCCTCAACATACTGTCAGCTCTTGGTCAACAGCTTGCCTACAAAATTTACCCCAAGAGCACTTCGACGGCTCATCCAGGAATTCACAAACAAACTCAGGGCAACCTTTAAAGAACTTCAAGGTTTCCCTTGCATCAGATAATGTGAGATAAGAATGAATCATTTTTCATGGCACTGTATTTTTAAACTATCAAGAAAAAAAAACCCCAACAAAATCACTCGTGAAATAAACTATCTACAAAAATAACAGAAAAAAAACGAAAAGGTTTCTCATGAACCAAGAACATTTTAATGAAAAAAATACTAAAACTTAAAATAAAAGTAACACATTATATGTATGTTAAAAAGAAAAGGAAAAACGTAATACCGTACATTAATTAATAAAATATATAAAATGCTGCAATCATTTAAACCAAAAAGAAAATAAAAAACACTGAATATTCAAATATACACCCAAACTTAACATACTTAAAAAATAAACCACACGAAACATGAAGACACACGAAAGCATTTCCCTTCAGCGCCTTCTGTTTTCATTTCTTCCCATCTTACTCATCCAGCCATTATTTTTCTGAGAAGTGATCATAATTTACCCTTTAAAATATAATTAAAAGACCAAAATTATTCTTCAAGAATTCAAACAAATGGGAGAAAAATCTGACGCTGTGTGTGTGTGTGTGTGCCCGCGCGTGTGTGTGTGTGTGTGTGTGTGTGTTGATCATCTCCTTAAAAATAGCTACTCTGCCTTGTGAATGGCTTGCGGACTGGCCAAAGTGGCATGAAAACAATTTTTCCCATCGCCACCCCCGGTGGGAGAGGAAGTTCTCGAAACACGCTAAAGTACACAAGCTGCTGCTTTTAACACCAAAAATTACGGCATATATTTCCAACTGTGCCATTTCTTCTTCCAGCAATGTGCATGAGTGACCGACATGAGTGGGTAAAATGCCGCCAGTGGGCAGGTCGAATGGAGAAGAGTTTGTCCTTTTGAATGGCACCCTGGATGCGGACGTGGCCTGCAGCAGGCGTCGACTCTGTCGCCGCCGTTTCTATCTCCTCATCCACCCCCCAAATTGTCCTCAACGCTTCCATGTGGATCTCCGTAGGAGTGCTTTTTTTTTTTTTTTTCCATTCTAGCATTAGTGAGAGTTTGGCCCAGACCCAAACATGGCGCCTGCGAGCTGGCAATGACCCTATAAGGCAGCTTTATGAATGACCCCATCATTAACATGTTGGCTGTTCACCTCTGACACCCGCATACAAGCCGACAGATAAGAGACTTTTGCACCCATCATAAGCTGTTACCCGACTTGGCAAAGTTTGAGAAAACATCCGATTGGAAGCAAACGTATGGAAGAAACGTCGTCGCTTACCGTTCCTCCTCTTTTTGAGCCCCCACTCTCCATGTCTAACGCTCCACGGTGTGTTCCGCCATAGAAGGCTTCGATGGAGCCAGCTGACCACGCTGACGGTGCTTATGTGTGCGAGTGAGAGAAGGTCTAAATGACCGTGACCATGTGTCCACCCTCCCTGCCCCACCCCCGACTCTCGATCAGGCTTATATATGGGAATAAGTGTCGGGGTTTCCATTGCAACATCGCACGAGACGACAAAGCGGGAGTAGGGGCATGCTGAAAGAACAAAAATAGTCAACGATATGAGATCAAGTGGTCATTTTCAGGAGGGGAAAAAAAAAACTTGCTGATACGAGAATTAAAAAAAAAAAACAGTCCTTGAAAAAAGTAACATTATGGGACTAAAGTCATAAAATAAAAAATTGATAAGATGAAAAGAAGTGATATGTAATTTTGCCTACTTATAATAAGTTATAATATTGTCTAGGTGAGAAAAAAGGTTGTAATACAAGAAAATTGTAAGAATGCATGAAACAGGTTGTCTTTTTGGTGGAATATTATTCAAATTGAAGTCATGAAGTAGAAAGAAAAGAATCCTATTTCTGGAAAAATTCGTACTGACAGGAGGAAAATGTCTTCATGTTATGATCGTCCAAATGTCGTTTTATGAGAATTTTTCGGGTGAAAATTAGTTAACGTGATAATAAATCATGATCATAACACTACCAATAATAATAAAACTGAAAAAGAAATCTTTGTATTGTGAGAATCAAGTTATTATCAATCCATCCATTCATTTTCTAATCCGCTTATTCTCACGAGGGAATCAAGTTTTGAAATTAAGAAAAAGTCTTCATGTTAGAAGACATTTTTTAAAGGGGATGTCAAGTCGAAAGTTTCCTTTACAATAAAATGTTCTATGCGGGTCCACTCGTCTAAACACGGCATTCTGATTAATATTACGTTTGTGGAACATGAATTAAGCAGCAAAATCGACTTGTTTTTAATCCATCTCAGCGGCGGCCATTTTACCTCTTGTTGACTGAAAATTAAATCACAGTTGCTCAGGGCTCAGGTAATGATTAATCGTGGCTCAGCCAGCGAATGTCACATGACCAAACTCAGAAAACTTTTTTTGCGAGCCAGAAATTTTTTTCAGTGGGGTGGCCAGGGTGACACAACATTGCCCTCGATGTGGGCTGGCCACCATCTCGCTCCGTCCCTGAGTGAATACTAATAATGTCCCAAAATAGTTTACAACAAAGTTATACGAGTGCAAAAAGTATAGTATAATAATACAATACAATGCAATACATGCTGATTTATATATAAAAGCACAACAGTAGAGGAAATTGTAATCTCATGAGGAAAAAAAAAATCCATATTGTGTTTCAAGAGAAAACTTAGAATGTTACGACAATAAAGTCCCAACACTGATTAAAAAGGCCTAAATTGACGAGAAAAACCCTCCAGACAGTTACGAGAATAAAATCGTGAAAGGTTTAAATTAACCAGAAATTGATCGCATGGCAGCTACACAGCGGTCAGCTATGTGGCCCACTACATTACCTTTGACAAACAACAGACTCATTCTATCAACTCTTATTATTTTTTTCTTTTTTTTGTACCTTGTGGCCACAATGCTGGACTGTTTCTGCGTTGGCTTGCATGAAGCTGACGATCTCGACTGGAAGTGAATCACAAAGAAGTTTGAACTCTGAGGAAGGGAGTGAGAGCCCACACGGCACAATAGCAGGAGGTTGAGCATGGAAACGACGGTGTTCTTATCAAACAACCGCCTGACTGCTTTTTCAACTTTCTCACAATACACATCATCTTCATGAAACGGATTCATCGATGGAACAAAATCCCTTCTCATCTTAATTGCAGACATACGCGGGAAAAAAAAAGTGTTTTTCCACTTATGATGCCGTCGCCATTGAAAAGAAAAAAAAATGTTGCAATTCCACAAGTTGTTGTTTTTACAAGAATAAAGTTATAGGGGGAAATGTAAAGTTTTAAGTAAGTAAAAAAAAAAAACTATTACAATGTAAATCTACAGAAAAAAAGTAATTGTGGGAATTAAATTGTAAATGATTCGACAAAAATTCCTAAGGTTATGAGAAAAACGGATTACGTCACGAGAAAAAAAAGTTTTTAATTTTACAAGAATGAAGTCAGAATCCTAGAAGACAAAAATTGCAATAATCCAAGAAAAATGTCAGAATTTTATTCAACAAAGTCCAAACGGTACGAGACAAAAGTCTTCATGTTTCTTGAATAAGTTCTGAATAAGACAAGAAAAAAAAATTACAGGAATGTTACAGGATCAAACATGCATTTGTTTGAGAAACACAGCTATGAAAATAAGTCGTTACATAACAGAAGAGCGAGAAGTAGAAGTGTTTTGGAAAAAAATTGGAACAACACGAGGAAGCAAAATTCTGAGATTAAAAGAAAAAACATTCAGACGAAAACATGTAATTTATTCCTGTAGCAATTTTATGAAAAAAAAAAAATATGTAGAGTACAAAGTAGTCATTTGTTTGAATGAAGTCATAATATTAAGACAAAATATATGTAATATTCTAACAAGGTCAAACCTTTATGAAAAAAGACAAAACAATTCAGACGAATACGATTTCACAAAAATAAAGTTGCAATATTTAAACAAAAAAAAGGTGATTGTGTGAGGAAAAAAACCCCATAATGTTATTAAAATTAAATCATAACATTGAAAGAAAAAAAATCTTAATAGCAATTTAATGAGAATAAAGTCATAATATTTAGCAATAAAAATGACCAACAAAAGTCTTCTTTGGACACCTAATGAGTTGGGAGTGACTCCACAGCGCCTCTGCTGGTTAATTCAAACACCGCACTCTGTTTTTGTATTCCACAGACACATGATCAAGCAATCAATTATGACCATCCCTAGTTTAGATGTGGCAAGTGGGTAAAAGAAAAATCCTCATCTCATAATTTCCCCAAATCAGAAAAGTAATCAAGGTGGGCGGAGCTTCAAGAAAATTCCATTGAATTTGCTCGTGCCTCACAGCTCTCTTTCCCTTCTCCACCTTGTTGTGACATTATTAAGCAGCGATTCATTGCGACGCCGAGCCTGTGCAGAATCACGGCTGTCACGTCTATTTACAAAGTGCGTTGGCAGGCTAATGGAGACATAATGGACGACGGGCACTGATACACTGGGGTGGGAGTAATGCCACGCTCAAGTGGCACAAACAAAGATGACGGCGGGACCACACGCTTTTTCCACTTGGTTGGACTCTTTGCCGCCTTACAGGGCAGTGACACATGAGTTGGTGGCCGTCACAAATAGCCAACATGTTTAGATTGCTTGCGCATGAGCTGATGGAAATGTTCCCCAATGTACAAGTTTTCTGATTTATGAGCCGTCGATTTTACCCTTTTTGTTTGGGGGCGGGGGGGTGATTGGGCTGCGAGACAAAAGCTAGGAGCAAACTTAAGATACGACACCGCTTGAGTGATGTGGAAAAAAAAATGGAGTATAAACATTGTAGAATTTCCACTCTGTGCCTTTCGGTTCGACAGACTTTTAAGTAGGGCTGAACAACGAAGCAAATTCAAATCGATATTGCCATGTAGTTGAATGCAATTTTCAAATCGAAAAGTCTGCAATTTGGAAAGCAAAAACAAAATTTTATTTCAGTTGGTCGGTAGGGTTCATTTTTCAAATATACCGTATTTTCCGCACGATAAGGCGCTTCGGAGTATAAGGTGCACCTTCAGTGAATGGCCTGTTTTAAAACTGTTTTCATATATAGGTCTCACCGTATTATAAGAGGCATAGAATAGAAGCTACAATAGTGGCTGCGGTTGCATTATGTATCCACTAGATGGAGCCACGCTAAAGGGAATACAATCCAATACAGCTTTATTTACACAGAGCCTTTACAACCGCTGCAGCTGTAACAAAGCACTTTACAGATCATTTAAAATACCACATCCAAGAAATCAGAATATTGATCCGTATATAAGGTGCATCGGATTATAAGGCGAACTGTCGGCTTTTGAGAAAATTGATTGCTTTTAGGTGCGCCTTATAGTGCGGGATAAAACGGTACATGTATATTTCAGAGCTGCACGGTGGTCGACTGATGAGCACGTCCACCTCACAGTGCAGAGGTGCAGGGTTTGATTCCGGTTCCGGCTTTCCTGTGTGGAGTTTGCGCGTTCTCCTCGTGCCTGCGTGGGTTTTCTCCAGATACTCTGGTTTCCTCCCACATTCCAAAAACATGCACAACAGGCTGATTGAACACTCTAAATTGTCCCTAGGTGTGATTGTGAGCACGAATGGTTGTTCGTCTCTGTGTGCCCCGCAATTGGCTGGCAACCGGTTCAAGGTGTCCCCCGCCTTCTGCCCGAAGACAGCTGGGATAGGCTCCACCATGCCCGCGACCCGCGTGAGGGTAAGCAGATTGGAAAATCAATGGATGGAAGGATTGTTTATTCATTTTCTTTATATAGAGTCTAAATAAGTTCAGTGCTTCAGAAATGCAGTCCACATGTTTTCACATGCTTGTTTCATGAAACATGAAATGTTGAAGTTGACCACAGATTTGTTTGCATGATTGTGTAGTCTGACTTGTGACTTACTGACTTGCTTGTGCCACACCTGTTTGGTAGAATTTTGTGAAGTTGTCGTAGTGAATGCCCCCGCCCCCCAAAAAAAAATGTAAGAACTGTAACTGAAGCCAATACAATGTAAAAAAAATATATTGTTTACCGTAACATGGATGAATGTATTACTTGTGTTTGTAAAAACGAAAAATAGACATGAAGTGAACCTGAAAGAAATAATCACATAATAAATCATAATCACAATTTTAAGAAGGAATGACATCGCAGTGAGGTTATTTTTTCGAAATCATTCAGCCCTCCTCTTGAGCCTCTTGCAGGACATGTTTAAAGTAAAGGAACATTCGTGAGGTCAACGAAGTATTTACACCGCGATGTGCCTCGAGGACAATTGTGTTATGACTGCTTGATGAGTGAGAAAGGCTGATTTATTCCCTGCGTTATTTGACATTCTCTAGAGGGAGCCGTGAGGCCGCACGGTGCAAAGTATAAGTGGATGGCACTCATGCAGTAGCCACCACCTTAGATGGGAACAAAAAAAAAATCTCACGTCGGCTATACATGCTGTATTTCACATTTATCTAAGGCGTCATGCGCGGTTCAACATAAAAGTCATTCTTTCAACAGGGCACGCCTCCCGCGGGCTTATTTTTAGTCTTGTTTATTTTAGGAACTTTTCCATAGTTTTGCATGAAATGAGACGTCCTCGACGTAGTGTCAATCTGGTGGTAAAATACGAAGCTAGCAGCTGCTTGTGACTGCCACTCGAGATCGAGAATTCAAACGGAATACAGTACGCCAGTCCTCTGCAAGGGAGCGTTTACATATGTTGCGGCACTAAAATAAAATATGTCAGCGGTGTTGTGACATGGAGGCGACTCCTTGGTGTTGATACTTTCAGATGCGGCGCGCTAAGCGGCGCGGGCAATTTACTGGAGGTTACTCATTTCATTGTATTGGGAATACAAAAAACGATTAAGCTATCGGATGAAGAATCATGGGACACATAACGGTCAAGTCATTTTGGTATTAAAAGTTTGGCAATGTTACTTTAGAAGTGTTTTTTTGTTTTTCTTCCATAATAATTCATTCTTTCCTTTTTTTTTGAACTTCTATCTTTGATTCCTTCCAGACATGTCCAGAATCACGTTGTAGGTACACACACACCTATGAATACACCTCCTACCCACGTGTGCTTTTCAACATGCCTGGAAAGCAGTTAGAAGACCTCCATCTTAATGAGTTGGAAAATAACCCGTATTTGTATTTTACATAAAGCACTTAATTTTCCGATTTGTTTTACATCTCTGATAAGAGTAAAGAAAAAAAAAGCTGTCATTTCATAACAATAAAGCTGGAACATATGAAAGAAAAGTCAAGATCAGCATATATTTATTATACATGTATTCCAAAAGTCATTCATTGTCAGGGCAGATCAAAAAAATGACCTTTGCACTTCTACAGCCGTCAATGGCAGTGAATGCGTTCAAATGAGAAAATAATTCAGAATTTTTGAAGAATAATCTTGCAAGAATCAATTAATTCTTCTTACTGAAGGGAGTGTAACAGCCAAATCGCATTTCAGGTCATTTCAACGGCGAAAATTGATTTGTTATCCGAGTAAATTGCCTTCCAGGCTTGATGGTGGTACCATTGTTGATCTGCACGATGCCTATTATTAACGTTTGACGCGTGCCGAGAGTGATTCCCAGTGTGTACGCTCTGCAGCTGTTTAGCAGCTCGGCCGCAGGGGTGGCAAGCATATTTCAGCCGCCAGTGCCAAGACGGCTGTCCAGGATGTGTGTGTTTAACTTCAGCTGCCCGGTGGCGCCGTCATTTAGGCGTAGTTCAGTGAGCTACGGGCCGCAATCCGAACATGCCCCCCCACCACACACACACACACACACACACACACACACACACACACACACACACACACACACACACACCGCCGGCTCTGCTGAGTCACCTGTTGGCGTCACGCGCAAGGCCGGCGGCGTCCGTATATCAGTCGCACCAGCGTCGGGTCCGCTTCCTTACATGGCCGCCTGCCTTGTCATCAGCTATACACGCACCACAACAATCTCCCGATGAGATATTGGTTAGCTGCGGACGGCGGCGCAGAGGCATTCGCGTTGGACCTTATGTGGTGATTTGAAGGAATAATCCGAATGGATCTGCGCGTATCACTGTGGCGATCAGTCAAGGAAAATGTTGCTTCGGTGCTACCTTAGCTTATGAATGTCCAAACTTGAAATTTTCCAACTATGAGCCACTCGATTTATCAGACCAAGAAGGGGTCATACATTAGAGATGATAGTATTTTTTTTTCTTGGCCGAAAAACAGCCATTACAACAGAAAATTATGGTAAATACATTTAAAAAAAAGCTTGAAACTGTTTGGAAAGTTTCTCCAAACTTACCTCGCTGTTGTTTGGGCCGGAGGAGGTGATTAGAGTACTTTTTTAAATTGTCGTACCAACATTCGGTTGCACATAGTATGGCGTGAAATATGATAAGTGAGGTCCTAGGTTAGCCCAGTACGTCTAACGCCTTGTGAAAATGACCAACAGAACAATAAAATAAGATAAAACAAATATGATAAAGAGATAAGGGCGATGCTTATTCACAGTTTGAATTTTTGCAATGCAGCAATTAAGTTTTGGTAGTTGAAGATGGTTTTGATGAATAATCATTTTTTGTTAATCATGATTTCAATATCGGGCAGCATGCTGGTTGATTGGGTAGAACGTCCGCTTCACAGTGCAAGGGTTGTGAGTTCGATTACGGTCCCCGGCCTTCCTGTGTGGAGTTTGCATGTCCTCAGATTCCAAAAACATGCATGGTAGGTTGATTGAACGCTCAAAATTCTCCCTAGGAGTGACTATGTGTGTTTTTTTTTTTTTGGTTTTTTTGTGTGCCCTGCAATTGGTTGTTCAGGGTGTGCCCCGCCTACTGCCCGAAGACAGCCGGGATAGTCCCCAGCATGCCCGCAACCCGCCTGAGGATAAAGCGGTTCGAATAATGGAAGGATGGATGATTTCAATATCAATCAAAATAATCATGATTATTTTTTTTCCATACTAACAAAAAGAGCATGTTCGAGAGTTTGCACCATTCAACAACACTTATGCATTCATCCCTTTTCCGAACTGCAGCAATAGATATTCATAGGAAGGAACAACATACTCCTTTTGCACTGTGTGCCTGCAGCGATGCTAAGCTAACGTCAATTGCCAAGTCATGTACAAAAGAAATCATTCAAACTTAAAATTTAAAAAAAAAGCATTCTTGAATGCTGATATCACTGCAAAGTCCAATCAGCCAATCATAAACATGAACAAAGTCATTCTTGGAAAAGGCATGCAGGAAAGTCAACTCATATTGAGAGTGCCTGAATCTAAATTAAAATAAAATAAACAAACAAACAAACGGCTCACATGAAAAGAAGCCTCCCTTGTAAAGTTGTCCTGGGCAAATTCACGAGTGCGATGACGTTTTGGAATCAAACAAATCCTCCATTTGAAAAGCGTCACGCTAACATGGTGTGTAAAATTGATCACTTTAGGTCATTTATCACATCTGAGGTTTAATTTGAACTGGATATCCTTAAGGTCGACCGAAACATTGATTGACGACGTTCCCCGAATGCTCCTTTTAGTTGCAACCTGTTGGCCTTACCTGTTGTCGTCTTAGAAGCTTGTTCCTGATGAAGCTTCTTGCTTATCCTCCTTAATGGTGGCCACTTTCCTTCTCCTTCTTCTTCTTCTTCTTCTTCTTGAGCTTTTGTTGTCCCGGGCCCAAAGTCTTCACAGGGGGTTTAAGAAGAAAACGCAGGGAGGGGGCATCACACCCACTCACCCAGTGGCAACCCTAAGGCCCACCCTCTCTTCTTTGGCTTCTCTCCTCCTCTTCCTCCAGCCCGAACACCCCCACTCCTCCCGTTTGCCTCGGCACCCTTTTCTTCTTACATCCCTGGTGCTCTAGTTTTTGTTGGGAAGTATTCTGCCGGTAACAGAAGGGGAAGTGGGATTGTTTTCTGGCATTAATGGCAATTCCGCTTCCACGGTGGCCTTCCAGGGAGGACGTGCCGAGTGTTGAGTTGTGAGAGCAGAAACCCTCTTGAAAAATACAGCGCTCAAAAACGGGCTCATATTTTGAAGGCGTGTTCTAAATATATGTTTCACTTAGCGCCATCGAATTTGGTAGGCTTGTCTATCGCGGATAGAAGTACAAAAAAAGGCCTCCCGAGGTAACGTGCCAAATGACACGGGAAGTCAGCCATTTTGCAGGCATGTTCGAAAACTCCGGTTTCTCGAGCGCAATATCCTGCCTGTTTTTGACCACTCCCTACTCCAGCACACCTGATTCAATTGTACATGATTGTTTCAAGGCCTCTGCAGCACTCGCTGATGATTTGAATCAGGTGTGTTGGAGTCAGGAGGGATCTAAAACAGGCGGGATGTGGCTCTCGAGGGACCGGAGTTCCCTACCTCTGTTTTGGGGAATTCAGCCCCCAAAGCCTGTTCCAACTAGCAGCGTCAAATTTGGTGAGCATATCCGTCATGAGGAGATGCACAAAAAAGTCTCGGGAGTTTATGGCTGAAAAGACACAGAAATGCTAGCATGTTGGATTAAATGGGTCATTAAAGGTCATTCTGGACACTCCAGAGGACCCTTTTTATTTCTTTATTTTTAATTTAGCCTCTGTCGCCAATTTCACATGACATTTGGTAGGCATGTCTATTAAGAACAGAAACTTAAAAAAAAAAAAAAAGTCAAGAGGTCATGTCACAAACGACATTGGAATTCTTCCATTTAGAAGGCCTGTTTAAAATTTGTATTCTGTGAAATTTGGTGATGATGCCTATCATGAGCAAAGGAACAAAATAGTTCCAGGAAGCCGTGCCTGAGAAGTCATTTTGGTGAGAAGCAGCCCTTTTTTCAGGTCATGTTGACCATTTCTAAGTGTCCTTCTAAGATGTTTTTTTTTTCTTTTTAAATGGTTTAACAGCGCTTACTCGTTGGGAGGTGGGTGGAGTGTTGGGATGAGTTGAGGAGGAGGGAGTGGGTGGTTGGCAGGATTAAATGTAAATGTATTTTTTCAACTGCAAAGCCCTTTGTGTTGCCAATATTGCATGATAACGTGCCAGAAAAGTAAAGTTGAGTTGAGAGTAGAGGTTTTGTCTGATTCCCACCACATTTGAACGACATATGCTGAAGAGATGGATGACAATTTATTGGGAGATATTTTAGCTCGATCGTTGTATGTGGGCGGACCGTGATGGCAAACTTTGATGATTTGTCATACACTTTTGGGAAGCACCCCCAAGCAGGGGTTTCCCTTGTTTCCCTTCGGAAGACCACATTTTGGAACCATAAAAAATTTTTGAACGTTGTAACCGCTTCCGTCTCATTATTTGGCCTGTCCTCCATTTCGAAGCAGCTCTCCGAACACGTCTATGATGTTAGCAAGAAAAGCGTTTCCCAATACAGGCACAGACAGATGTAAGTTGATGTTCAGAATAAAATTTACTTTCGACTGTGATGAAATATTCTTTTGTTCACTCACTTTTTATTTTCGTAAGTGGCAAATTGCAAAATCATTTTCTTCTGTTTTATTCTTTGAGGAAAGATTACAGTACACCCCCGGCCCCGCAGGCACCAAATAACTTGTGCAACAATGCACTGTTTGAGAAGTTTTAGCTGGAGGATGTTTTAGAAGATTACCAAGTGGAGAGATTGCCGTCTCTGAGTCGCTCCTGCTTCGCGCTTCTAAATGAATATTTCCAGAAACTTGTTGGAATTGTGATACAGATTTTCCCATACAATATATTGGAAATTGAAAAAAATCCATTTGGGTGTTGGCAACCTGGAGTGGGTCGCTCAGCTGCCTTACGTTGAACCGTTGACATTTCGTTTTTGTTGTTTCTTTGTTTTTTTCCTTTTTAACTGATATCCGCCCCATCAAGACGTGGAGGATTAGAATCTTAGCTTGGGGCAGTCTGGAGAGTTTGCACAGTATCCCTGTGTTCATGATGGTTTTCTCCTGCTATTTTGACTTCTTCCCACATTCCAGAAACAACCATGCTAGATTCATTGAAGACTCTAACGTGTCCATACTGGAGGTGTGAATGTTGTTTTTCTCCATATGTTCCCTGTGATTGACTGGGGACCAGTCCATGGGTGTCATCAGCCGCGAATAGGCTCCAGCTGCCTGTGACCAGAACAAGATGTGTGCGGTATTGAAAATGGGTGGTTAGTTGGAGGGTAGCCTTCTGTGGTGACATCACACAAAAAGCCAAAGAAGAAGCAAATCGTACTTGGGGAGCGATTTCCGTCAATGGTTTTTGATCTTAGGTATGTGTCATGGATTTGCATCAGCTTTGAAAGTGAAATATTCCCTTGTTTTCTTTCTGAATTCGTCATAATGATTTTGCAGCCTGATTCCTTAATTCAGTGTGTCAAGAAAGTCCCCTTGATGGTTAAATTGTGTTAATTTGTCCGGGCTGCATGATCCGCTGTGAAAGGTTTCTTCTGTCGCTTTGATGTTGGAAAATATCACATTTTTTTCATATCTTAATTGCAAATTAAAATCAATAGAATTTTTTTTTATGACAACCCTCGTGAGCAAGACGCTGTGACCTGGAAACTTCATTACAGCCTATGTCATCAAAATAATTCCATCCATCCATTTTCTAATCTGCTTATCCTCAGGAGGGTCGCGGGCGTGCCGGAGTCTATCCCAGCTGTCTTCGGGCAGTAGGTGGAGTACACCCTGAACTCGTTGGCAGCCAATCGCACATGGACGAACAAAACATTCGCGCTCACACTCACATCGAAGGACAATTTAGAGTGTTTCATTAACATGCCATGCATGTTTTTGGAATGTGGGAGGAAAGTGGAGTACCCGCAGAAAACCCATGCAGCCACGGGGGAGAACATGCAAACTCCACACAGGAAGGCCAGAGCCGGAATCGAACCCCAAACTTCTACACCGTGAGGCAGACATGCTAACCTCATGATGGTGAAAGGCCGATATTGAAATTGTGCTTACATTTCAATTTCTTTCTTTCCTTTTGTGTTGCAGACATGTACTCTTTTAGAGAGGCTTCACTTGGTGTGGTTGATGCTAAGGGATAGAAAATTTCCTACTTCATTCTAACAACCAGTCACTGATGTTCAGCCATTCACTTGCCTGACCCAAGCATGAACCTCCTCACCTTGAAAAGGACAACTGACATACGAACGCATTTTTATTCTTTGGCTTATGACTCAGAGACCCCAAACAGGATAAGTGGTATGGAAAATGGATGAATGGATCTACTAACAAGAGTTTAAAACACCACAGATGGACTGCAGCACCAGTAGTAGTTTCCCGTTGAGATCAACTAGATTTGGACTCGGGAACTAATTATTCCAATCTGTCACAATCATTCAACCTGAACGAGAGCCACTGTTTGATGGAAAAAGTCCCTAATGTCAGGATGCATTAGTGTAAACCCTCTCAACTACCAACTCGCCCCCCCAAGCCTGCCGTTCCGCCTGACACGCGGCCTAGGCGGGCCTGGGTTTGACGGACATGTGTTCCTAAACATGCCGCCTCAGAGAAAGCCTGAGCGAGGTCCAGAGCGGGAACACTAAATGGGTTGCGAAGCTCAAGGTTGTTTCATGGGTGGAGAACTCGAGTCTACGTCTACGGGACGTCACTCGCCACTGCGCATCGGCGCAGAACTCAATAACAGTACTGGCATGTTGTTGTTTGCCATTTGAGGTGTCAATCACACTTATTTACTCAACTTCCCGTCCACACTATAGAACACGACTAAAGGACAGTGTGAACATTCACAGCTGCTTTTGTGTGCTGGAGATTATTACGCTTGGATACATTCAACATCACTTTAATGCGCTGATTATTCATGGTAGTCTTCTTTTAGATCTGGACACATACAGGTTCACTGAAACCTCAAAGGTTACACAAAATCCATTAGTGGCAGACATCTGATTTGTTCAGATTATTTAAATTTTTTCCATATAGGAAGCAATGGAAATCGAAAGGTGCTTTGGAATGCCCATCTGAAAAGTTACCCGCTAATGCTAGCTGACAAACAACCTAAACCTTTGTCAGACGTCAGCAAATTCACCAAATGCCCTCATGTAAACGAGAAAATACAGACAGTATTCTGTAGCGATGCTCTAATACATTATTTAAATGAATTCCCCAGAGCTGCCAAATGTTTCAAATTGTCCATATTTTGTAACAACAATCTCTGAATGTGACCTCATAACTGCCAAAACATGTAGTGTTGCGACTATTTAAAAAAAAAATAATAATAATCACATAAGCGTCGTTTCGGAAGCAACGTGGACGCTAGCAGACGAGTCCAAAGTTAGCTGAAAGCTAACGACTTTAGTTGGCCCCAATCACTGCTAGTTTTCATCGATTTATATACTTCATTGGCAGATTATGATGGCGCAGAGAGGAATTGTGTGCTCATGACAACGTTATTCATCGCAGAATATCAAACGCCATCACGCTAAACTGTGTTGTTTTTCTTCAGTGTCCTAATTATACTTGAGGGAATATGCCAAATCGTCACAGCTCAGTGAAGCGTAGCTAATGGTGAGTGGCATTTTTAATCTTTTTTTTTTGTCCTTGAAAGTATGCCTTCAAATGAAAATGCTTTTAAAAAATGTGTACCCTGTTTGTGTCCATCTGTATGTGTCCACAATGTACATTGTCGGAATGTCACTCCAAGTAAAGAAAAAAAAAACATATCTAGAAGCATTAATATTAATCGGTTCAATACAATGCCTTGATTTTAGTGAGCTTAGGCCAGGTCAGAACTATGAATGCAATTGTACTACTAGTAATTAATAGTTACTATATTTACCACTCTAACCTTAACCCTAAACACCCCAACGTGCTGTAATTAAGCCATCTAAATATGAGCCATACCAACAATGAAACCCTCTCCCAACAATAGGGCCACTCCACCCAGTATGTAGTAGTATTTCCATGAGTTCTGATGAACGAGGGACTATTTCCTGTCGTGCATATTTGGTAGGCTGTGCATGCCCGTGTCTCCCAGTATTGTTCTCATGGTCATCATCATTACTGACAGTCGGGTTATTATTACGCCCGTGCTGACAGGCAAGGCAAAGCAAAAGAATGGCGCTGGTCGATGGCAGTAAATGAGCCGTGGGGCTACGTGGCTCATAATAGAGTGACTAAGCTTCATGTGAACAGGTGAAGGATTGCAGGAGGACGACGTCAAATGCGGTCGGCGGATGGATGTGTATTTTGGACTCCTCATTCCTCTTTTGGAATCCATGCGTTCTTTCAAACGCTCATTGTGGATCAATGCTATTCTTACCGGCTGAACTCTCAACTCGTTGGATGACTGGAATGCCCCACGTTGGCGAGGAAGATGAGGATATACAGTCGATGCATAAATGAGTCACACGTGTGCTATGATGCATATATGGTGGAGCATTCGCTTTTGCTTCTGGTCACCATAATCGACATCAATAGCATATCAGAATATTTAATTCCATTTAATGTCGCGTCTTTGCTGACTTGCCCTTTTTAGTGCCGCCCACTGGATTGGAGGGGTATTGCAGTTACTTCTGCCTCTGTTCCTTGCTTCATTTGTTGTGCTTTACATAAATGTGTTTTTTTTTTTGGGTTTCCATGAAAATAATTTCGTGTTTGAAACATCTTACAGGATCTAATGTACCAAATTCTTGCTAATTTGGATCACAATGTGGCTGTAGTAAATTTATTGGAACACCAAACAACCAGCACAGTGATGCCATGTTAGGACGTTTGCCTCATTGCCAAGCGATGCTAGGTTCATCTCGCATTTTAGGCCGTCTTGTGTGCTGTTTACATGTACCCCCATGCTTGCTTGTGTATTCCCTTCCAACATTAAATTCTCGATTGCTATGATGTGAGTGTGATGTTGGTTCGTCTATATGTGACCAGCAATTGACTGGATAAGTGGCATAGAAAATGGATGAGTGTACAGCACCAAATATGGTTCCTTGCCTTAAGATGCTTGGATGCATCTTTTGCAAGGTTCCTACTCAGCTTCTTAGCGTCAGCATCCCCTGTGGCTGTGCTACTGCGATACTGCACAGTGTCCACTTTTACATTGTAGTTGTTTGCTGGTGGTGTGACAGTTACATTCAATGCAGCATGTTGTTGTAGTTTCCTGCAGTACCATTTTCAAATGGAAAATTGATACAAATCAAGTGGAACTGAGACGAAAAAACATCATATTTACTACCCCCAACAGCTGAAAATGAACAGATAGCGCCAGACCTCTGCCTTTTTTTGGTTGAAGGGCTTCCAGTCGAGCTTGAGTTGTGGTAAAGTGTCCATTTCTTCCCGCAAATCTCCGGCATCAGCAATGCTTTAATTGAAATCATTTGCCACTGTTCTCATTCCAAAAGATCGCGCTGGCTTTTCTGTCGACAAACAGATTAACCCGAATGAAAGCCAACACAACCTCGAAACCCAATCGTCGGTTCCTCTCCCACCCTCAGAAGGGACACGGTTATCAAGATGCCGGGAGGAAGTATGCTCTCTTAACGCCACTTCCACTCCCCACCACCCCGCCCTATTGTAGCCCTGCCCCCCCCGTCATGCCACCAGTGTGTACTTCCAGCATCCCTGCGACCAGCCGCGGAGAACGAACGGACTAACAAACGCAGGAAGAAGGATATCTCTAAGAAGCCCTCACCCAAGACAAGCGACATACATGTTTGTGTTGGTGTGTGTGAACTGATTGACTTTGTCTCTACACTGCTATGTGTATTGAGAGCCATGTTTTCACGTGTTCGCCATACATCCCGAAAAACAAACAACAAATGAAAGGTCCGCATTGTTCTGGGCTCGCAGTAGGCCAGAGACGGACAAACTAACATTGCAGGAGACGTATTTTGCATTTTTCTTGTGTTCATGCATCATCCATTCTCAGCTTCTCTTCACTCGTGTCACCAGTGTGGTTGGAGCCCATCCAAGCTGACTTTGGGCGAGAGGTGGGGGTACACCCTGAACCGGTTGCCAGCCAGTCACAGGTACACTGGTCACTCTCTCTGAATAGACCTGTTCAAGTCAACTGGTTTGGGGGGGACACCATCCACCGCTCACAAAAGCACCAATCATAACGCCGTCAATATTATAAAGCTGATGCATAAAAACATGAATGAGTGTGCTAGCGTTCTGCATATTCCCTGCGTAATAAAAGGTAGCGACGTAAATGTTTTATAACTTCCCGTCCGTGCAGGCTATTGTTCATTGGAGGAAACGGCATTCAACTTAACACTCACAGTCTCTGTGAGTATGAAGTGAGCGCGGGTCGTGGTAGCGGCGGTGGTCGCCATCGTCCGTTCTGACTGCGCCACGTCTTGATAACATTGTGTCAGACCGCCAGCTGACCGAGGGGACCCGACGGCTTGAAAACCTGCAAAAACGGGTCCTGACACAAAACATACAGGGTGTTACCCTCTTCTGTAATCTTTCTTAACCCCTGCCAACTGCACTTCCTACCTTGGCTGACACATGCACTGTACTCAGCGCAGAGATCTGCACTACGGTGCATTTATCAGTAACCTTATTTCCTTTTACACGTACTTGTCCAAAAATCTCATCAGCTTCTGATGTCATGTGCACTTTGGGTGCATTTTTTAAATATGAAATCATCTCTAAGCCACTTTATGGATGATGTTGTCAGATAGGTGGGAAATGCTATTAAAGTGTATTGGGATCATAATTTGGGGTATTTGTTTTAAACTAATAATATAGGCAATGAAGAACATTTTTTACGTTTTTTATTTTTCTGTTTTTTTCCGATTTGCACTTCAGCCCATTCTGCCCTCGATAAAGGGGGATTATTGTAAGCGGTGGTAGATGTTGGAAATCAGAGGGACCCATCACAGTGGTTGTCCGCTATATCTCGACATCTTGTGGCGGTCAAACGTTCAAAGTGACGGCACATTTCGTTCCTTTGATGTTGCTTCTTATCCTATCATTGTGAAACAGAATTGACCAAGCATTGAATTGTTTACCCACTACTATGGAACATGAGCCGGGTTTAGAGTGTTGTGACACAGGGTTAGTCATACGAAACGTTGCCGTGATATAATCTCAATACCCGAGTGAGGATGAACTCTATAAAAAAAATAAAAAAAATGGGTGAACTCTGAGACTCCCTCCACTCTACATCTGGACTGCAAATGTGGAGTGTGAAATCAAGACTGGCTATTTTTTTTCGTTCACGCATCATTTGATCATCAATTGGTGCTTAAGGCCAAGGTTGGATAGCAGTGTTAGTTTGGAAGGGGAGGCGGGTGGGGTGGAGGTTGTACTCATAATCCCGTTAAACATCCAATCTCACACAACACCGACATCCTCTCTCCTTGCTCTGACCTCCACCCAGCCCTTCGGCATTGTGCCGACCCACTCAGAGAGGAAGTTGGCCTTCCACTTCTCCCATGTGCCTTCCAGAAGGACAATTTGCACTCGCTTTCTCAAAGCCTTCCTGTCACCCTGAAAGTGAGGTGCCGCTAAAATAATGTTTCGTAGCCCGAAGACAGCTGGGATCGGCTTCAGCACGCCTGCGACCCTTGTGAAGCAGTTAAATTGTACTGTTGATTGACTGCCTCAGACTTTCATATGCCATCTTCTTCTCATGGTTGTTTATATGGAGGTGTCAGTCGCCCATAGGCATATTGTGAGGTTTTTCTGTTTTTGCTCAACCCTCAAAGTTGACGCAGTTCAACCAAAAACATCTCGAAAATATGCCTTCATGATCAGTGTTTCGTCACGCATCGCATCACATTGGATGCCAGCAAAGCTCATGAGACTTTAGGTCAAAAAGGTTGATATCTTTTCTGTGGCTTTTTTGTTTACTTCATGATACCCCTGCGGCAGGCCCTTATGTAACGGCTTGAAAGCACAACCCATTTGGCATTTCCACATTGCTCTTGGTGTCTGCTGGGGAGCCTGGCATACGTGTGGGAGATTCCGTGGCCATCTTGGACAGAAAAGGCTTTTTTTTGGACCATTTGAAGATTTCCTGCTCCTCCTGTCTTGAAAATATTCTAGATTTAAAAAAAAAATAGCTGTTAATCAACCTTCCAGAAAAGTGTCATTTTAGATATTTTTGGAGTCAGAATGAAGCCTGTGATGTTGGTATAGAACAGGGGTAGACAAATACAAGTCCCTTAGGGCTCCGTCAAAGGTCCACCTATTGTAGTCGGTCAGGCCATATGCAAAAATACCGTCATATTCAAAACAAAATGTCCCTTCATTCATAAGAACAAAAACACAACCCTGAAACTTTTACATAAATGAAAATAAAGAGTTGAGCAAAAAAAAACAAAACAAAAACCACATGATCCAAAACCACAGCATCAGCACACTGCCTATTTTATAAACTGATTTCATAACCTATCCACATGACCCAGTGTGTGTGTTATCGGGAGTAAAATGGAAAAAGTTGGATAAATTAAGAGGATAAAGGCAACCTTTGCGCTAAGCTAACACCACAATCTTACACATGTACGCCACCTTGTTAAAAAAAAAAAAAAAAGAACAAATAAGAAACTGTTTTGTTGCTAAGGTGACACCCATTTGGTGAGAGACAACTTAGGAGATGTCCTGGCTGGTCCACCAAACCGATTTTTCACATGTTGCGTGTAGCTAATAGTACTGCTCATAGTCGTGTGCGAGGCTCGTACAAATTTTAAAATTCACTTTGCATCCATGTCAAGAAATACTGTCAATTGTTATGTCATATCCAGGGTTGGATACGTATGTTTCATTGCCCCTCACACACTGTTATGAAGCGAAATGTTGACCAAAACAGATAAGTTTTGGGAAAGATGCTTTGTGCTCATGTGATTTATTTATTTTTTTTTTCTGAAAATTTTTACCAACATATTGCCAACTTTATGGTCAGATAAAGAAGAAAGGCGGGACGGTATTTGCCGCAGGCTCCACCATGGAGCACAATTAGCCGATTGTTTTGGCAATAACTAAACTGAACTAAGACCTAACATCTGCGATCAGAAGCATCAGCCGTCTTGAGTGCACCGCCTATTATAAGAGCACTAAGCACACACTGGTGGCTTTTCTTCCCCTCTATTGATGTCCAAGTTACAGTAGAACCCACTCCGGTGGTTACAGTCGGTGTTGCCAGACTCATCTTGAAAAAGTAAATGAGTTACTTTACCGATTACTTGACTTTTGAAGTAACACAGTGAGATGACAAGTTACTTTTAGTTACATTCAGCAGATGTTGACAACCCAATACAACCCAATACTTGATTGGTGTTCACAATAAACAAGTCCCTTGTTTTCAAACTAATAAACTTAACTTCTCATCTTATACCTAATATACATAAAATATCCTTTACTAATCATGCCCCGTCGGTGTACATGATAAAATGAACCTACAGCTATCGCTTTTTGTAGGGAGGTGTAAAATGCAGGATTGAAGAGGACTTACCATTCAATTCTCTTAAGCACAAACTCGGCTCAGCAGGAAGTAAGGCTACTTTCTGTTTTCACTCTTCTTTCAAATTGACGTACTGTGAAACCAAATAACGGGCCCCCAACTGGTAGCCGACAGTGTCATTTCACCCCCCAAAAAACAGATGGCAGAACAAAATGGAGTCATAAGCGGCTGGGGGAAAAAATGCGCAATAGTCATACCTGTCAACTCATACCGTTTAGCCATAGTTCATACGGATTTTGTGGTGAATCTTACGTATATGGCCATATCGTACAAATCATACGGATTCTGAAAATTTCCGTTTTTTTTTTTTTTTCCCCCCCCTAACAGGTTGTTCCGTTTGCTTTTGCCCAGAATGGTGCTAGTCTACTACTCGAATGCTTTCATTTCCGGTAACTTTCCAGTAAATCACGTGGTTCTTAGTTGAAAACAGCAGAGTATTCATGGCATACTTCGGTAGTGTACAAGCAAGTTCTACAAGGAAACAAATATATCATTCATATTTCGTGGGGTTTTTTCTGCTGTTATTTTGACATATAAAATGCTTTGGTATGTTATAAGGATTTTTTTGCTCTTTATAAGGATTTTTTTGGTAGTTTATACAGGTTGGCGCTCCGAAAAGTTGACAGGTATGAATAGTGGAACCTCAAACCCACGATAAGGGGGAGTAATCGTTTTTTAGGAGGTTTTACTGTAGACCACTGTAATGCCCTCACGTGTGGCAAAGGAGAGCCACAGTCACCGATGCACTTTTCAGCTGTTGACCGAACACTTGGAGAACAGTTCAACACAAATACAATGAACATGTACGCAAGACTTACTGAGGTAAGACACTTCGCAACCATGCCCCGCGCTAAAGAAGGTTTTACTGCAGGCAGAAGAAGCACACAGCTCAAAAACGGTTTCTTCCTCTCACTTTAAGAGTTACTATTCTACATGCCTCCATTGTTTTTTACACACCGCTTAACCTGTGTCAATGGTGTTGTCAGTATTTACTCAGCAATAATCCAAATTCTGTTTTTTTTTTTTCTCTTCCCCTAAGGGTTGCACACTATGACAGGAAAGAACAAGCCACGATACGCAGGAAGTGAGGGGTCAGCACAGAGGAATGTTGGGACTGGCGAGGCAGGTGAGAAAGTCCGTGTGACGGCGATCACATGGCCGTCTCGTTGCGTCACTGGCCGAAAACACAGAAACAAGTGGCTCCAAACAGATGAGTGGTGTGGAAAAAGAAAGCCAAAATGGCACAAAGAGGGGAGACAGGGGGTTTTTGTGCACGGCGCACACAAAGACACGCACACACTCACAATTCACTTTTCAAGCTAAACAAACAAGCTCATATTTGTTTGTCTTGAAGCACAAACCTGAGCGCCGAGGTCTCAATGTTGCGCTGTGTCACGGGGGGCTCAGCGCTGCCCTCAGGTCACGGCTGATAGCATCTGCTAAATCTCACTCTGAATGCCTCATTTCTGTGTGTGCGTGCGTGGCGCGCATAGTGGAGGTCATGTCACCAAGTGGGTAAAAATTGATGCCAGAATTGATGATCTCTTCAAACCTTTACTGAGCTTAATTTTTTGCCACAGGCTCGAATAAAAAAGCCAAATTGACGTTGCCATTTGCCAATAGGACATTAATACACCTGAACAACACATATTGGATTTTTATTAGTCAGTGGCAGGCCATGCATTCGGTACCTTGGTCCTGGTTGAGAAACACTACAAAATGAAGGAAATGGAATGTAGAGAACAAAAGAGGACAATTTAATGGAAGCAAATATTCAAATTTAGATTGTAAATGTAGACCAAACTTTCTGGCTTTGTTTAAGCCTGCTTTGCTGGCCAGGATCACTCTCCTGCAAGGCTGTTATATCTTGACATAGTAAAACCAACTGGACTGTAATTGCTGAATTAATTTCAGTCCTTCTTCGAATAGATTACGGGCAAACCACCAGTTGTGTGAGGATACGTTTTGTTCTGATTGAGCCCAATGATCTCTGCTGAGCAACAAGTAGCCACACAAACATGAGAAAGTTAAAGGATCTGCTCTTCGAATTATATTTTGTCATCTGTGTTGTAAGAAAAAAAATGTCACCCAAAAAAGCCACACATCACACCGTAAAATAGAGTAGCCTTGTTTTTTTTAATGTCAAAACACCCAAGACTGCAACCAATCAAAGCTACGATATGCCTTATCACCTAATAAGGTCATCGCACGAGTTCGTCACTTCCTGTCTTACAAAGGCCACTGTGAGCAGGAAGCGGTCGACAGTGCAGATCTGCAGGCAGATCGCCCCACGATATGTTTGTTAGCGTGTTAGCATTCTGGTCAGTGGCCAGTAAGTGCCCTGCCTCGGAGGTCTAATCTGGCCTCGCGCCTCACTGCACGCGCTCAATAGCGTCCGCGCCCTGCATCATGACATCATGTCTTTGTGTAAAATCCTAGTTCCATTCACGCGCCCACTGTCGGGCTTAGCATCCAAACGTCCTCTATACCAACACGCGGCTCTTTAAAGGGAAACCCGATGGATAAACCAGAGCTCCAAACATGGCCGCCGTCCTCCAACACGACACAGGCATGCCCGTGGGCCGGAAGAGAGGGAGGTTGTGAGCTTTTTAGATGTTTACTGTAGTTCGCAACTAATATGTTTTCAATTTGAGTTACCGGTATTTCATTTGTCTCCTTTTAACCATCATAAACTCAATGTACAGTAAAAGTTTACATAACAATAGAGCAACAGAATATGGATGGATTCTTTTATTAATTTTCACATTTTTTTTTTTAAACACACTTCTTTGTACAGTTCATTGACGTGGACCTCATATTGACACTTTTCATCGTTTAAACAATTCGGGATCAATTTACAAGCTCCATTATTTGCTTCATGCAAATGTCTTTTTCATAAATATCAAATGGGCCTCTGTCACTACACGGCAACTGGAGCAGCCGAATCCAAACTTGTGGAACACAATGAACCGCAGACATCAGGAGGTGTACTTAGATCATCAAGCCTGTGATATCCCAAGGGCAGCCAAATGCTATTGGCTGAGAGGTAACAGGGCGGAACGTAGCGAGATGGTCAGAGTGCTCTGTCAGAGGAGTCATACACCACGTGCCGGCAGAGAGAGATGAGAGAGCTGATCACACACATCCGTTTTTATGTCACATTTTTGCTTTTTCTTTTTTTTTTTTTTTTTTTTTTTGCTAACTGCTCGACACGAACACATTTGACAAAGACCACCTGTACTTTAAATTTAAAGTATACTTTGATAATGTATAATCCACCTTAACCATGAATAAATGCTCGTTGTTGACAGTGACACTGAGATTGCAATATAATAAGAAGTAATCGCCTGTCGTATTGCAATGACGAGATGGAAAACATGGGTTCAGTTACTTGTGATCTCACCAGTCACTTCGGGTGTGCCCCAGGGCTCCATCCTGGGGCCCTTGGTCTTCATGATGTACATCCTCCCCATCAGCCTCATTTTCCAAAAATGTACTCTCGTCTAAGATTCTAAGCATTGTAATCTAATTTTCGTAAATCTCTTTCATGTATCCTGGGAGGGCACCTCAGTCAATATTTCCTGGAAACCCAACATCTCACTCTCACCCTCCTCTCTCACCTCCTGCTGATTAGAAATTAACCCCTGGTTCATCGAAAACTTCATGAAATCAAATTCATCATCCATCTCAAAAGGTCGACGCTTAGTTTTCCCCTCCCTTCAGGTCAAAAGTCTGTGTCTCATCCTTGACACCATACGATCATTCCTTTTAATGTCTGTAACATAAACCAGTCAGTTTCTGTTCACTTACGCCACATCAACCACACCTCCCTCACCACCCGTACTGCCTCCATCTTTTACTACCATCTCGTCACTTTCCCTTTTGATTATTGCAACTCCTTACTCTGTGATCTCCCTTATAAGTCCCTTCACAAGCTTCAATAGGTCCAGAACTCTTCTTCGTGTAACACCCCCCAACGGATCCCGGTTAAACTATGACTATATAGTAAACTACTCTTTTATACCTTGAAGGCCATCCACAACTCACCCCTTCCATATCTGTCTGACCTTCTCCACATTGCCTCTCCAGCACACACCCTCAGATTCTTCCCCTCCATGTCCCTTAAGAGAGCAGAGCACTCAGCTGCTTGGCTCCCCAGCCCTGGAACTCCCTGCCACCAAAACCCCGTCATGCACGACACCACTGGCTAATTTAAGAAAGGTGAAAAAAAGCTTTTGGTTCTTTATTTCACACTTGATGGGTGAGCAGATGCTCCAGATTTTTTTTTTCAATGTAAACAATTAAAAAGTCAAATATCCACATCTTGTCCTCTTTTTCAAACATTTCTAAACTAAAGTTAACCTAAAATGAACTTTGGCTGCAAATCAAACATGTCAGCGGTGACAACTAGTGATGTGCACATGCATTCAGGCATCATAAACAAACTAACCATCTGACCAAGCGGCCAAACTGAAACGTGACAGCAATGGTGGACATTCCTCACATTCCAGCTAATATGATGATACACACACACACACACACACACACACACACACACACACACACACACACACACACACACACACACACACACACACACACATATCGGAGGTCTCGCAGACCCCAGAGTGTGAAAACTCACGCAATGTTGCAATATAAATATCTCAGTGCTGTTGTTATTCTCTTGTGAAACTCTACTGGACACTCTTCTGCCTGACGCTCATTTATCTTTTTCATTGGGTCACAGTGATCTTCCACAATGGCTAACGTTCCATTCCCCTCCCATCCTTGAGAACAAATTCAGTCATTTAGTCAATGATGTTAATCAACATTCATCAAGTGAAATGAGGGTGGGGAACCTACGGGGCGTGGGCGAGATATGGCCCGCCAGAGTTTTTATTCCTGCCTGCTGTACAAGTGTAAATAAAAATAAAAACCCTCAAAGGAACTGTTATAAAGATCTTAACATAGAATATTTTTCGTTTGTTGCTTGTTGCATTTTTTTGTAAATTTAGTTTGACCCTCATAAGACCTCAAATGGCCTCTTGGTCGGTAAAAAGGTTTGGTCATGTATTGCCTTGGTCCTGGTCTTGACATGTTTTCATCGCCATAGAGTCTGATCCGTCAAGTACTCAGTCTTGGTCTTGTCTGAGTCTTGTATGGACTTGGTCTTTGTCATAGTGTGCCCTTTTCTCCCGAGAGTCTTTGTCTTGATTCAGCCTTCTATTATCTCCGTCTTAATATAGACATGGGCCATATCTGCGTGTCGACCTTCCCTCTTCTCCTTAGAGTGTAGGTCTTTACTCAGTTTCTTATTGTGTTTGTCTTGGTCTTAATATGGTCTCATCTATCTGTCTCATGTAGACTCAGTCTTGGTCTTGGCATCGTATCATCGCTGTGGAGTCTTGGTGCTGACATGGTCTCATCTAAAAATCATGCACTTGACTTGGTCTTGACTATCCAACGATGGCTGAAAAACAAACAAACAATCTAATCTGTATGTTTTTTTATCGCTTGAAATGAAATGGGCGACCTTATGGTGATTTTTAAAAAATGGAACAAGTTAGGACATTCCCTCCCACCGAACCCCACCCCTTTCTATTTCCAGAAAACGGTTTAGAAATCCTCCTCCTTTTTCGAAAACCTCTAAAAAAGAGTTTGTTTGTGGACTAATTATTAAGTTTAAAAACATGCCCTTAATAACCCCACCGTGTTACCCAGTGTACATTTTGTCGTAAGCTTGTTTGTTTAGAGTTCCACTAATATTCATCATAGAAGCCCACGGTGCTCCTTTTGTTAGTCCTCGAGGACACCCACTCTCCTTCAAAAGTCCCTTCCCTAACATTTGGCAGCCACAAGCTCAGGAACACCATGCAGAATGTTTTAGGAAATTGGTCCCGGACCACTGTGCTGCGTTGGACCCGGTGGGCCAGTGGTCCAGCATCCATGCTGCCATGGCAGCCTGAGGCCTGCACCCCATACATCCCCGCTTGGGCTCTGTTGATCCTATTGTCTCTCTGCGTCACCACACGTCGCCCCGGCAAATAAAGGCCGTCTGGCTCCAAGCTTAAACTTCGCAGCAAACTCAAAACCAACCATCAGAGCCGATTCATTCACATCTGCTCAGTGGGGCGACAAGGACAGGGCTTTAGGTGGGAAAGAGGGCAGAAAAAAGTTCACTTTTCCCCGCCGGGTGCCAAGAGAACGGGACAGGACTCAACTTCGAGGGAGCCGCAGCTGTGGCAAGTGGCCCATTTTATTACATTTAACGTATATCTGAGCGTATGGAAGATCGGTTTACGTAAAGCGTGCCAAGACATTTGTATTTTTTTTTTTGTTACATGTTAACTTTTCGTCAGGTTATTGTGGTTTGGAGTTGTTTGACTGCTGAGGCGATAAGAAGTATCACGTTGCCCGTCCTTGTCAAAGTTTGAACTGTGAATGGTTTCACTACGAGATAACTAACCATGTTGGATGATTGTATGGTTGAATTGACTCACTTATTTTTTTTTTTTCTCAAAGAACTCAGCTAATGTGAAATTGAACCTCGCAAGCTAAGTTTTCTATTCCCGATGCACAAAAGTTCAGATCATGAAGTCATTCGTTGTACCATCGGATAGCACTATATTTTTGTGTTTTCCTGTCAAACATTTCGACATTTTCTTACGCTTGACACTCCGTGTGTGCCCCCCAAAACCCTCACCCCTTCCCCACCCCACTTGTCCGGCCTGCCTAAACCAACCCTCCCTGCCCGTCTGCACCCTCCATTTCTCTCCCTACCCCACCCTTCATTCTGCAGTGCTACGGACCGATCATGGGTGACTGGAGCTTTCTGGGAAATATTTTAGAGGAAGTCAATGAGCACTCTACGGTGATTGGCAGGGTGTGGCTCACAGTTCTCTTCATCTTCCGCATCCTCATCTTGGGCACGGCGGCGGAGTTCGTGTGGGGCGACGAGCAGTCCGACTACGTGTGCAATACGCAGCAGCCCGGCTGTGAGAACGTGTGTTACGACGAGGCCTTCCCCATCTCTCACATCCGTCTGTGGGTTCTGCAGATCATCTTCGTGTCCACGCCGTCCCTGGTCTACGTGGGCCACGCCGTGCACCATGTGCACATGGAGGAGAAGCGCAAGGAGCGCGAGGAGGCGGAACTTAGTCGGCAACAGGAGCTGAGCGAGGAGCGACTCCCGCTGGCACCTGACCAGGGGAGTGTCCGCACCACGAAGGAGACCAGCACAAAAGGAAGCAAGAAGTTCCGACTGGAGGGCACCTTGCTAAGGACCTACATCTGCCATATCATTTTTAAGACACTCTTTGAGGTGGGCTTCGTGGTGGGCCAGTACTTCCTGTACGGCTTCCGCATACTGCCGCTGTACAAATGCAGCCGTTGGCCCTGCCCTAACACCGTAGACTGCTTTGTGTCTCGCCCCACAGAGAAAACGGTCTTCATCATTTTCATGTTGGCCGTGGCTTGCGTCTCACTCTTCCTCAACTTCGTAGAGATCAGCCACCTGGGCCTCAAGAAGATCCGTTTTGTTTTTCGCAAGCCGGCGCCCGCCCCGGCGCAGGGCGAAGGCTCAGCCACCCTGCCACCGGGAAAAAGCCTGCCCCCTTTGGCAGTGTCCTCATTGCAGAGGGCCAAAGGTTACAGGCGGCTGGATGAGGAGAAAGCTCCCCCTATAACCCACCTCTACCCACTGGCGGAAGTGGGCATGGAGGCAGGCAGTGGGGCCCCACCCTTCCATGGGCTGGAGGAGAAGGCCGAGGAGGAGCTGCCCATGGGGGACATCCCCAAAGCGTACGACGAGACTCTTCCCTCCTACGCCCAGACCACCGAGACTGGAGAGGGGACATTGCAGCAGCAGGATGCAACCAAGGAGGCGCCTCCAGTCGGGGTGGAAGGTGGAGAATGGCAGGGTACCGAGGCAGAGGCGGAGGGGGCGGTCCCCCAGGAGGGAGGGAGTGCGCTGGCCCAGGCAGGGAGGAAGGCGGCGGATACGATAGAGGACAGCAGACCTCTGAGCCGACTGAGCCAAGCTAGCAGTAAGGCCAGGTCGGACGACCTCACCGTATGAACACGCTACGGCGACCACACGCACGTACCACTGCACTCCATAACCACGCCTGGGAGAGCACACACACATAGAAACACTTCTGAAGGGGCAACTCAAAGTCAATAAATCGAACCACAGACCTTCATCTTAGCATTGCCGACCTGAATTTTGCCATTCAGATTTGTCACTGGGAAATTATAGAAAATGGTCTTATTTTTGAAATGTTATGAAACAATAATGGGAGAAAAGAAATCTGCACCTGATTTAATGAGTGCATGCCCCACCCTTCTAATCCTCTATAAAATAAAATAAGTAGCCATTCAATACATTGGCGGAGGTAAACTAAACAGAATTAAAAAAATACACATCGGGACAATAATTGTCACATTGCCCCAAAAAGGACCCCAAAAAAGCAGGCAGGAGGGAGGAGCAAGGGTGTACTTGACGAGTTGTATTGAAACACAGAGAAAACTAAATCTGAAACAAAACAAAGTCCAAAATATCACAAGAAATCCAAAGTACCAAATCAAAACCATGACTGTAGCAAAAAACTAACAGGAAGAGAACCATGACAGACGCAAAGACACAAACAATGACCCGACAAAGAGTGGTCGGGAGGGAGTCCTTTTAAAGCAATAACGACCAACAGGTGTGCAGCTGCAGGGAGAGCCCTACAGTGCCACCTGTTGGTCAAACCGAAACATGACAAATAATGGCAAGTGTTTGTGTCAAATATGAAACAAAAAGTGTGCTCCTGGTATTCAAAACTTGCAGGAGGGACATGTTTTTACTTTACAAAAAGAACCTATATGTTCCATTTTTAAGTACCATCTTTTTTATCTAAGGTTTTAATCAAGAGTAGACATTTTTACAAACTGGAGAGAGTTTTAGTTTATTTGTGTGTCTGCCGATCAGTAACTTTGCTGTAGTTCATTTCCCATTCAACCAGTGCCATAATGCGAGTGCATACCACACAGACAAGTGCCTACTTTTACACTTTTATACAACGTGCGCAGCTCTATGTCACCGGCAAAAGTTACATTTTCGGAGTCGAGGGAGAGCACCTTTTTGCACATGCAGAGTTCAGACGCTGTGCGAAACTTTTTTTTTTTTTTTTTTTTAAACACCTCGACGATGCATCTCTTTCCGCAGGAATCCTTTCAAGTGCAAGCATCTCAAGTAGTGAGGGGAGAAAAAAAAAACTTTAGAAAGACCGCTTGCCTGAATGTCTTTTTCAATGTGGTGCTGTTCATATCTGGTCTAGAATTGTGCGACCTTTTTCCGTAGATTGTGATGCGATTTTGAAAAAGAGCGGGGCTTATTTTGCCCTATTAGAGAGCAAACTATAGAGCCACCTCAGGCCAAATCCTCTCTCTTTTTGCGCTGTACAAACAGGCGTGCGGGTGATAAAGATCTTGCCCCATCAGCACAAAGTATTGTTGGGAGGCGGGACAATAAAAGAAACGGGTGCCATCAATGAAAACAAGTATCCTTAACCTCGTTTGTGGGGGCAAGACAAATACTTGATTTAGTTTGACCAGAGGAGAAAACACTAAAAGATACTTTTGCCAAAAGTCTGGGAGAAAAGTGTATATACACTGTAGCGCCAATGTCATGTCTTATATTGTACATACTGTGCTGTTTTAGGTACTTCACTGTCTCGACAGCTTACACATTTAATTTAACACTGTCAGAAAATAGCAATGTTCCATCACGGATGCTATTTCAGAAGCTAAAATATGTCATTCACCAGCAAGTATTACGATAAATGAATCATCATCATCAAGCAACCATTTTTTTTTTCTTGTGTATTTTCTGGACGCATGTGAACTATTATTTATTTTTCTTCATAGAGCAACATGATGGAACCCTAAGAATCTTGGAATTGTGATTTTTGCATGGAAAATCGAAATTGTGAATCAAAACACATTTAAAGTTGCTTATACACACACACACGCACACACACACACAGCCACACACGCACACACACACCCACACGTATCGTTCAATGTATGATAGGCAGCTTTGACCTTTGTGTAAGCTGTTAAAAAAAACATATATTTAAAAAAAATGTCACAAGGTCCCTGTTTACACCCATAATGTGCTCTAACTGCTATTGTACGACTGTGTATTTTTATTTAGACCGGTGCATTGCTTGTGATGTTTGTAAGAAGACATGCATGCATATATATATA